TGACACATACATGTGCTGATAGCATAGCCATTTCCATACACCCAGTCTACACACTGCCTGTAGCAGTACACAGGGCCTGTTTCCATTGCCTTTCAAATGACCATTTCCGGCAGCAATCTATCTGAAGCCCTGGCATCTCCCACCTCCTTCTGTAAGCCCCAACTTTTCACTGTTAGGACTGTTAGGTGGACCCACAGTCCACCTTCTCTCCTCTTGACCCAGGCTGCCCAAAGCAGTTCTTCGTGCCCCTCAGCAAGCTTTCCATTCTCCTTGTCATTTTAAAGGGCTGTAGTACTTGCTTATTAAAGAAGACTTAGAAGTTCAGCAAAATAGAAAAAAAGTCCACCCATAATCCATTCACCCAAACACCCATTGAATATAAGCCAAAGTGGGTAGAAAGGCAGGAGCACATGGATGAAACCTGCAAAATGGAGACAGGTTTCCTGAAGATGCATGGCAAGGAGTCCACAGCCAGGTAATCTTACATTCACCTTTGCACAGTGACCACACACCCCTCTTGGGCCAAGCACTGCTGGGGCCCCTATTGGAAAAAGTCTCCCACATACTCTTTCAAATCTTGAGATTAGAAAACTATCTTTTTTATTTTAGGCATGGGAAAGGCCTAAGTAAGACACAAAACCCAGAAGCAACTTAGGAAAAAATTGGCAGATTGAAGATTAAAAACTTTTCATATTCAAAAGACTCCCTAAACTAAGTTAAAGGACAAGTGGTGGCAAACTGGGAGAAAATATTTGCAATATATTTGACAAAGATTTTATCTTCACAGTATGTAAAGAACTCCTACAAGTCAAGAAAAAGATAAACACATGGGCAAAGGATGTGACTAGAAGATTCAGGATTCAAATGGCTGATAAACATGAAAAGAGAAATTTGCACTAAAATAGCCATGAGTTACACTTTCTTCCTTTGGTTTCCAGAATGCCATACCGGCCTGGTTTTCCTTCTACCAATGCGGAGGCTCCTCATGAGTCTTTTTGGTCCTTTCTTGAGCCCTTAATCTTGGAGCACCCAGGGTATTGTCCTTGGTCCTCTTTTCTTCTTTGTCTACACCCATTCACCTGAAGCTTCATCCAGCCCCAGATCCTCAATCTGTCCCCCTGGGTCACCATCTTCTCCTCTGCCTACTACATGAGTTCCCCCTCATGTGGCTTTAAGAGATTTTTGAAAACACCACTATGCATTCATTGTTTTAAGAACTTAGCATTTTTATGTTTTGGTGCAGGAGGAAGAGGTTTCAGGGATTCATGCTTATGTATATACATGATGTTATTTCTGTAAATGCAACCACATACATTTATGACTATATGCATGGTAAAGCCCAGAAAGCACCAAGATGTTACAGTGTTGTGGGATTACTAGAACTTTTAAAATGTCATTAGCATCATAAAATAGATTTACAACTGTAGTGTTTGTTGCTGATAAAAATAACCTAAATGTGTAACAATAAGTTACATAGATTAGTGCTCATTTATAGTTGGAACAATATGCAACCATTAACAAGCATGCTGGCAATGATATTTACCGATATGGCAAAATTCTCATCACTTGATGCCAGGTAAAACAGCAGGAGATGCCAGTCTATACAGCCTGATGCCAGTTTTATACAGTTTATTTTAAAAAAGAAAACTGCATGCGCCTAGAGACAAGACTGGAAGGAAATGTATCAAAATGTTACCTGTGCATCCTTCCAGGTGCTGGTGTGAAAGTGCTCTGTATTTTTCAGTTTCTGCACAAAATGTGGGTCATTTGTACCTTAATTTAAAAAAACAACAATCTGGTGGTTGTTCTTTCGAAGCAACAAATCGCTGTCTACCTGGCGCCGTGGCGATGCACCGCGTCCCCGCCCGCGCCTCTGCCCACCCGTAGCCGGACGCCCGAGCGCCGGCCGCTCCCGCAGACCGCAGCGCCCTCCAGCGGCAGGTCCGGGGCGGCGGGAAGGGGGTGGGCGCGGAGGGCCAGGAGGCGGCGCCGGGCGTCCCCACGCTTCCCGCGAGATCCCGCTCCACCCGCTCCGCCCCGCTCGCCGCGCTCCCAGCTCCCCGCGCCGCGAACTTCCTCTCAGCGCCGCGCGCTCTCGCCGCGCCGCCTCGCCGCCGCGCGCCGCGCCGCCGCGCCCGAGGTCACCGGCGGGTAGTCGCCGGCTGCCGCGCCGCGACCCTTTGTCCTCGGTGGGCGGGCGGAGAGCGCCAGTCCCCACCCGCGGCCGCCGCGGGAGGCGCGCCGGCCGTGCGGGCGCGCGGATGGGCCAGCGCCCAGCTGACGTTCCGGGAGAAGTCGCGCATCATCCAGGAGGTGGAGCAGAACCCGACCCTGCGCAAGGGCGAGATCGCGCGGCGCTTCAACATCCCACCGTCCACGCTGAGTACCATCCTGAAGAACAAGCGCGCCATCCTGGCGTCGGAGCGCAAGTACGGGGTGGCCTCCACCTGCCGAAAGACCAACAAGCTGTCCCCCTACGACAAGCTGGAGGGGTTGCTCATCGCCTGGTTCCAGCAGATCCGCGCCGCTGGCCTGCCGGTCAAGGGCATCATCCTCAAGGAGAAGGCGCTGCGCATAGCCGAGGAGCTGGGCATGGACGACTTCACCGCTTCCAACGGCTGGCTGGACCGCTTCCGCCGGCGCCACGGCGTGGTGTCCTGCAGTGGCGTGGCCCGCGCCCGGGCGCGAAACTCTACCCCCCGGACCCCAGCGGCGCCTGCTAGCCCGGCCGCGGTGCCCTCAGAGGGCAGCGGCGGGGGCATGACGGCCTGGCACGCTCAAGAGGAGCAGCCACCGTCGGTGGCCGAGGGCTATGCCTCGCAGGACGTGTTCAGCGCTACCGAGACCAGTCTATGGTACGACTTCCTGCCCGACCAGGCCAAGGGGTTGTTTGGAGGCGACGGACGGCAGCGCCAGGCCACCCAGCGCCTGAGCGTCTTGCTGTGTGCCAACGCCGATGGCAGCGAAAAGCTGTCCCCGCTGGTGGCCGGCAAGTCTGCGAAGCCCCGTGCCGGCCAAGCCGGCCTGCCCTGCGACTACACCGCCAACTCTAAGGGTGGTGTCACCACCCAGGCCCTGGCCAAGTACTTGAAGGCCCTGGACACCCGAATGGCTGCAGAGTCTCGACGGGTCCTGTTGCTGGCTGGCCGCTTGGCTGCCCAGTCCCTGGACACTTCGGGCCTGCGGCATGTGCAGCTGGCCTTCTTCCCACCGGGCACCGTGCATCCGCTGGAGCGGGGAGTGGTCCAACAGGTGAAGGGCCACTATCGCCAGGCTATGCTGCTCAAGGCCATGACCGCCCTAGAGAGCCAGGATCACTCAGGCCTGCAGCTGGGCCTCATGGAGGCCCTGCACTTCGTGGCTGCGGCCTGGCAGGCAGTGGAGCCTTCGGACATAGCCGCCTGCTTTCGTGAGGCTGGCTTTGGAGGTGGCCCTCATGCCACCATCACCACTTCCCTCAAGAGTGAAGGGGAGGAAGAGGAGGAGGATGAGGAAGGAGAAGAGGAGGAGGAAGAAGAGGAGGGTGAAGGGGAGGAGGAGGAGGAGGAGGAGGAAGGCCAGGAGGAAGAGGAGGAGGAGGAAGGGGGGGAAGCAGAGGAGTTGGGGGAGGAAGAGGAGGTGGAGGAAGAGGGTGATGTTGATGACAGTGATGAAGATGAGGAGGAAGAGGAGGAGGAGAGCTCCTCCGAGGGCTTGGAGGCTGAGGACTGGGCCCAGGGAGTAGTGGAAGCTGGTGGCAGCTTTGGGGGTTACGGTGCCCAGGAGGAGGCCCAGTGCCCTACTCTCCATTTCCTGGAAGGTGGGGAGGACTCCGAGTCGGACAGTGAGGACGAGGAGGATGATGAAGAGGAGGATGAGGAAGACGACGATGAAGATGATGAGGAGGATGGTGATGAGGTGCCTGTACCCAGCTTCGGGGAGGCCATGGCCTACTTTGCCATGGTCAAGAGGTATCTGACCTCCTTCCCCATTGACGACCGTGTGCAGAGCCACATCCTCCACTTGGAACATGATCTGGTCCACGTGACTAGGAAGAACCATGCCAGGCAGGCAGGAGTTCGGGGTCTCGGACATCAAAGCTGAGTCACCGGGCCTAGCCATGCCCCAACCCAGATTGGTGGCAGCAGCCCAGGGCAGAGGACTCTCTGGGCACCTGCTATGGATGGAGCCAGAGTATGGAGCCCCAGATCCTTTAGCAATGCTTCCCCTGGCCCTGGGGCAGGCCCAGTCTCCTCGGTCGGGCCCGGGGCTGAGGTCAGCCTCACTGCCTGCTTATTGCCTCTTTCTCAGAGTCCTCTTTCCTCCCCATTTGCCCCTGGGCTCAGGGGAGCCGGTGGGGTGGGTGGGGAGCTGTCCGGTGCTACCACACCGTGCCCTCAGTGGACTAACCACAGCAGAAGCCAGGGATGGGCCCTGGAAGCTCCTGGCCGGAGAGTGCCTCTCCCCTCTGCCGTCCACACCAGGTCTTTGGTGGGGGGGACCCCAAAGCCATTCTGGGAAGGACTCCAGAGGAAGGTCCAGCCTAGGCCCCTGAAAGGCTGGCAGCCACCATCCCCACCCCTGGGCCGCCTTGAGAAGCACAGTCTAACCATGGGCTCCTGAGCCCGCCTCTGCCTGCTTTCCACCTCCCCAGTTCCTTTCTCTGGCCCAGTCCATGTGACTTTGGCCCTTGGTTTTCTTTCCAGATTGGAGATTTCCAAGAGGTCCTCCAGGGGAGTGACAGTGGGTGCTTCCCTGGTGAGCGGCTGCAGGCCCCATGCCTCTCCCTCTCTGGCAGGGGGCCATCCTGGGCAGAGGGGCCTGGGGCTGGGCCCAGAGTCCAGCCATCCAGCTGCTCCTTTCCCAGTTTGAATTCAATAAATCTGTCCACTCCCCTTTTGTGGGGGTGAACATTTTAACAGCCAAGGGTGCATCCTTCATGGTCTGGGCTTGCGTCTGTCTTGGGGGACACATTCTTTCCCGGTTCCCTTTGGTCCTTGCTGTGGTGGGACATGGAAGCAAGTGTTAAGGGGACAGGGGGAGCTCTCAACACCCATATCTATATGTTATTGAAGCTTGGGGAGGAAGGTGACTTCAATGTACCTGCCTGAGGGCGGGTTAGAGGAAACCTAGCCTTGCTCTGCTTTGGAGTTAGAGAGAAGCTTGGGGTCACTTAGCTGGGGCAGGAGGGAAGGAGCCAGTAGTCTCTTTTGGGCCAAATTGAACAATATGCACCTGGGGACTAGGCCTACCTAGGCTGGTTTTAAAAGGTGCTTGCAGGTGTGGGGCCAGGACAGAAAGGGGTATTTGGGCAGCTCTTGGAGTTCAGGTTAGAGTTTGGAGGAACATATGGGGCACTCTTTGGTTTACCTTTTGTGCCTTAAGAGGGAGCCCTTTAGGCCTTTCAGTGATTGGCATCTCCAAGCCTGGTGGCCACCCCTGGAGGCAGTGGTAGGAGGAAGGTGAAATTGCTGGGAACAGGTTGCAGCCCCAAGAGGCTGGGGAGAGTTGGTAACTCCCTGCGGGGTGCCCTCCATGGGGTCCCCCCAGTCCAAAGGTGAGGACAGGCCTCTTCAGCCCTTCCCTCTCTAACCCTTCCTCATTGGGGCCCTCAGGCCCCAGCGGTTCCAGCCAGGGGAGGGCCTGGGCCTGAGCAGAGCTGGCAGCTCTGGGCCCCAAACCGGTTTTCCCACCTCGCCTGGGGCTGGCACATCACCTCTGTGGTTCCTGCCCCCACCTTTGCCACCAAGTTTTTCCTCTCCCAACTCTGGAATGTTAAGTGGGGAATACCCAGGTCATCTTTTGTCCCTTGCCTGCCCTGGGTGTGGTCTCTTCTAGAAAGGTAAGGCCACTATGCATGAGTTTAGAACAAGATGAGGTGACTTCCACTCTTGGCCTTCTGCACTTCTGGCATTCAGGGATCCCCTCCAGGCCTTGAAGGTTTTGAATCTAAAAGACAACAAAAAGTAGTTGGAACTCCTCTTGCCATCAACATCTCTCCCCAGTCCGAGCCCTGGAGGAGACCAGAAAGCTGTAAGAAAGTCCAACCTACCTCTGGACTGCTCTGAAGTGAGAAGGAGGGAGCAGTGGCCACCACCCCCAGGTGCCCCAGGCCAGCCCAGGTCCCTTCCTCAAGTTCCAACAAGGCAAATTACTTGCATTTGTCTTCTGCCAAGAGAACACCTCTTTTGTGGAACTGAGATTGTCTCATTAATGATAACACCAGCTGATGCTAATAGGGCCCTTGCTGCGTGCCAGGCTCTGTGCTAAACACTTTAGATGCTCACAAAACCCCTGTGAGGTGGATAAAACCATGAGAAACGGGCACAGATAGGTCCAGTAATGTGCCCAGAGGCACACCATTAGTCTGCTATGGAAGCAAGCTTTCTCCCTAGGCTGGCTCTAAAAGTACACCTTTACAAAGTGGGGTACCATATTCCTAACTCTCTTAAGAGTAGTGCTGGTTTGAAATGGAACTGAGTACTGAAATCAAATCCTAATCTGTGGAAGAATAGCTCCTTAGGGAGAGATGCAAGATGTGGAGGTGTCTACAGGAGCTCTCGCTGCTTCTGTACCTAGACCCACTTCCATTCACCCAGTTCCCATACAAATACAGGTCTTCTATAAATATTAACATTTTGCTCATTTGTAAAGCTCTTTCCCATTACCCCATTGGGACAAGCAGGTCTGAGAACCATCCCCATTTCACGAAGGAGAAAATAAAGCTAAGAAATTAAATGACTTGCACAAGGTACTGGCCTTGAGCTCTGGTGTTCTCCCTGGGAGTCTGGGTTGCATATGAAATGCCCCACTGGGACTCTGCTGGGAAGGGGGAGTGGCGATGGCCCTATAAGCACAAACTTTGGTGAGGGACCTAGCAAGGAATCACCATCACAGAGACTATCACACAGTCCAGATGGGTAGCATATCATTAACAGTGGATCCCCAATAAAGCTGACAAACATTGAGGTGCTGCCTTTGTTTGGGACTGACAGGGCCCAGAAGAAGGAAGGATCCCATCCTTGGGGGTGCTGGTGGATGAGTTCTGGGGGCCTGACTGGTTTGGGCAGGTTCCACAGTGGGTCAGTGGCTGGTCAGCAGGTGGCATGGGCACAGAAGTAATGCTTTCTTAGGGAGGAGGAGAAAGCAAGGACACCTAATCGTCTTTTCCAAGCTGGGGCCTGACAGTAGGTAGCCAGGGGAAAAAAAAACCAAAAAAACAACAAAAAAAAACACCCTACAATTCCCAGAATGCCATGCTCCCAGGCCAGTCGGGGATGGTTGCCATGGTTTCAGAAAACAATATGGCCGCTCCCAGCGGGGACGTGAGTCTCTGGGTTGGGGAGGCAGAAGCGGGTCTGGGCTACTGTAGTAGCTACAGAGGAGTCGCTTGAGGGGTCGTGAGGCTGAGGCTGGACGCTACACGGCTGGAACGGTTTAGGCTTGCGGAGGGTGCCGATGGCGAGCAGCGTGGACGAGGAGGCGCTGCACCAGCTCTACCTGTGGGTAGACAACATCCCTCTGTCCCGGCCCAAGCGAAACCTCTCCCGGGACTTCAGTGACGGAGGTGTGCGCCCCTGTGTGTCTACATGTTCTGTCCTGTATGTAGGTGTGTAATGGGTCTGTGTGCATACTGTCTCTTTGTGCATTTGTGCGCGGAGGGGGAGAAGGGTTTAGGGAGGATGTGTCTCCTGGGACTTACTTCAGTTGTAGAAGTGTGTGCTTGTGTGTGTTTTCTATTTGCACCTGTGTGTGAACAATGCATGTGCATATGTATGTCTACATGTTCTATCCTGTGTGCATGTGGGGAGTGTGTCTCTCTGACCGGAGGGATCCAGGGAATTTAATGACTAAAATATGTGTCTGCATAAGTATTTGTGTATTTCTGTACGTGCTTACTCATTGCTGTGTGTTCTATATGTCTGTCTTGTGGGAGTCTGAGCATGTGTGTGTTCATATGTGTGTTGACATGTTGTGTGTATCTGGCGAGGTCTTGTATGCATATGTGTTTCTTTGTGATTATGTGTTTATGTGTCTGTGTTTCTAGGACTGTCTCCTGGGCTTTCAATGACAGAAGTATGCATCTCTGTATGTGTATATTTGGGGAGGCTATGTGCACATGTGACTCTCTGTGCTTATGTGTGTGTTCTACAAGTGTGCCTATGTATTTGGTCTACGATGTACCTATTTTGCGTGTCTACACTTTCTGCCCTATGTGTCTATCTGTAGGGAGATCTTATCACATATGTCTCTGCTTGTGTGAGTGTGACTTTGGTGTTGGAGTGTGTGTGTGTGTGCACACGAGTGCACATGTGCATCCATGTGAATTGCTAGGGTGGGGCCCTGGGCTCCTGAAAGTCTCTCTTGGAGACTCGTTCTCTGCTGGAGGATCAGAGATCTCAGTTTTCCCATGCCTTGAGTTAATGGGGAAGGGATGCAGCTCCTTTGAGGTATGCTGGAGACTGAGTCTCCTCTACCTGATCACTGATCTCGATTTCTGGGTTCCAACACTTTGCCATGCCCGATTTCCCATCTCACCCCACCCCTCTTCTCTTCACCCCTTTCTTCCTTACCCGTTTTCCCACCTTCCATGTTTACTCTCACTCCCTCAGTACTGGTTGCAGAGGTCGTCAAGTTTTACTTCCCCAAGATGGTGGAGATGCACAATTATGTCCCTGCCAACTCTCTCCAGCAGAAGCTCAGCAACTGGAGTCACCTGAACAGGTAGCAGAATGCCTGGATGCTGCAGCAGGCGACTCCAGCCCCTCACCCTGGATTCCTAGAAAGGGCTGCCCCAGCTCCTGCATCTCTTGTGGTCTTGGCTGCCCAGGCTGAGATTGTTGGTGGCAGGGTGGGGAGGGTCAACACAGACAGAATCATTCTGGTAACAAAATCAAGGAACTCTTTTATTGGGAAGGAGACAAGGAACTTAGGCACACCCAAGCCTGGGAGCTCAGATGCGGTGCCCTTCACTCCCCTAGGGCTGCAGCACTCAAACTCAGGACGGCGACCACAGTTCCCCCTTCCTTATTCCCCATCCCTTTCTCTACCCACCAGGAAAGTACTGAACAAGCTGAACTTCTCGGTACCGGACGACGTGATGCGCAAGATCGCGCAGTGCGCCCCCGGCGTTGTGGAGCTGGTGCTCATCCCGCTGCGGCAGCGCCTGGAGGAGCGGCAGAGGCGCAGGAAGCAGGGCTCGGGCTCCTTGCAGGTGCCACCCCGCTCTAACTTCTGCTGGGGATGGGGGGCGGTGCTTCCCAGACAGCCGAAAGCCCCGCCTTGTGTGGGGGAGGGGTGCCTGGCTAAAGAGAGCCTGGCCTCAGGGATAGCGGAAAGAACATGGGGTCTCCCTTGGGAGATTGAGCTCAGGCTCACAGTGGACCACGGGGGTTCTTTCAGGAACTGGCTCCCCAGGATGGCAGTGGCTACATGGATGTGGGTAAGGTGGCTTTTCCGTTTCTCCCTCCCAGGAGGAGCTTTCTTCCTGTCCTTCCTAATGCTTGCGAGGGTGGGAGGTGGCGGCGGACGGGGAGCCGGAGAATGGGACTCCAGCATGGTCACTCCTCCACTTGCCTTACGTCAGGTTTATCCCAGAAGGCCCGAGGTGAAGGTGCCCCCGACCCCCAGGGAGGGGAGCAGCTCAGGTAAAGAAGCTGGCAGTTCCTGACTTCATCAGGCTTGGTGATTCCCCAGTATAGGCTGGGGGCGGGGGCTGGGGGGGAAAATGGGGAAGGTGGAGGGTACTGGAAGGTGAGGGTGAGGCCCGAGGTCCAGGCCTCCGCTAAGCTGCTTCCCACCCCAGGGGGGCTCGGCCACCTGCGCCCCGGCTTTCCGGGTATAGCCAGGCGCTGCAGGGCGACCCAAGCTTCGTCCTCCAGATCGCTGAAAAGGAACAGGAGCTGTTGGCCTCGCAGGAGACCGTGCAGGTGAGGGCGCGCCGGGAGGACTGGGAAGGCTGGGGATGGGGTGTGAGGTTGGGCTTGGGGACCTGCAGAGGCGGGGGCAGGAGGGAGCAGGCTGCTGGACTTGACCTTTGCGCGGTGCGGCCCAGGTCCTGCAGATGAAGGTCAGGCGCCTGGAGCACCTGCTCCAGCTTAAGAACGTGCGCATCGACGACCTCTCCAGGCGGCTCCAGCAAGTGGAGCGTAAACAGCGGTGAGCTGCCGCGGGGACCACGCTGGGTCGCCCCACTAGCCGCCAGAGCCCAGACGCAGCGACCGACCCACCCACCGACGGACAGACGATTGGGAGGGCGGAGCCTGCTGCTCGCACAAGCCTCTCAGGGCGGGAGTCCCCCGTACCTTGGGATGGGTGAGCCTGGGGGGCGGCGGGACAGGACATTGGAGCAGAGGCCTGGGACTGAGCTGCCTCCTTCCACTCCATCCGGGTCAGGAGAATGGACCGCTTTCCAGAGCCCAGAAGCCACGTGCAGAGACCTGGCAAAGCCCCCAAAGCAGTATCCAACACCTGGGGCCCAGCCTTGCAGCTCCCAGCGCTGGCCTTTGGGGGGCGGTCCCATGGCTTGGTCTGTATCCCCAGAACCGGGTCCCCAGCCAGCTCTGATGACAGCGGTGTCTCCATCCAGGCTAGTTCTCCATGCCCTCAGTCATGGGGGGAGCTGCCCTGGGCAGCCGAGGGGCTCCCTTACCCTTCATGGGAGCTCACCAGGGACTGAAATGGGGGCCGGAGACCACAGCAGTGAGTAGTGGGCTCAGCCAGGAGGAGCAGGGAGGACGTGGGCCCAGCCTGGATCAATCGTCCTCCGCCCATGGGGTACTATTGGGAGCATTTGGAGGATATGAGACAGGGCTGTCACCATTAAAGTAACTGCTGTGTTCTCTTTTCTGTGTCTGCCTTCTCTTTCCGCCTGGATCCCTGAGAGCAGAATGTTCCTGCTCCCCTTGACCTCCACCCCCTTGGGTGAAAGAGCTTTGTGGACCCAGAGTGGGTCTTATATTGTGGGTGGTTGGGCCCTCTGTGGCTACTGCTTGATAGGTTAATGGTATCACCAGGGGTCAGGTTTTGTGCACTATGACAGCCTGACTTCTAACCCTGGCCTCAGATTGGCCCCAACACCCACCCTCACAGTGTCCTCCATCCTTGTCCAAACCCAACCCCAAACCTAGGTTTCAGATTCTTGCAAACTATAGCCACATACTTACCCTCAACCCTGCCTATGGATTGACCCCTAACTCAGCCCTTTATATTAATTCCAGCCCCGTCCACAGACTGATCCCAAGTTGTATGGACTGAGGCCAAGCTTTCCTCCCATCCCTGATCTAGACATTATGGCCATACTCTGATGATTTGCTGACTACTGATAATTTTGAACATTTGTAAATCCCAAGATCCAGCAATTCCATTCCCAGCCATGTACCCAGCATATACTCAGGGAAAACTTAAGCTATTCTGTTTTGTGTTCTGGGAGATGTGTTACAGCAGTGTTCCTAGCAACACTCTTTGTAATAGCAAAAGAACTGAAAAGAACCTATACTTAGTTATCTATTACTATGTAACAAATTACCACCAACTTAGTGCCTTAAAACAACACATGCTTATTATCTCATATTTTGTGTGGGTTAAGAGTTTAGGAATGGTTAAGTTAGGTCCTCTGCTTCAGGGTTTCTTGCGAGGCTGCAGTCAAGGTGTTGGCCAGAACTACAGTCTAATCTGAAGGCTCAATTGGGGAAGGATCCAAGCTCGCTTGGTTGTTGACCCTAGTGGGCTGTTGGACTGAGGGCTTTGGTGTTGTACTGGTTGTTGGCTGATGGCTGCTCTCACATTGCCATGTGGCCATCTCCAGGATGGTAGCTTACTTCAAAGCCAGCAAAAGAGAGAGTTGATAGAGTCTGCTAGCAAAATGGGAGTTACAAGCTTATCTAATGTAATCACAGAAGTGACATCCCATCACATTTGCTGTATTCTATTTTGTTTTTCTTTTTGGAGACAGTCTTGCTCTGTCACCCTGGGTAGAGTGCAGTGGCCTCATCATAGCTCACTGCAACCTCAAACTCCTGGGCTCAAGTGATCCTCCTGCCTCAGCCTCCCAAGTAGCTGGGACTACAGGTGTGTGCCACCATACCCAGCTAATTTTTTCTATTTTTAGTAGAGACAGGGTCTTGCTGTTGCTCAGGCTGGTCTCAAACTCCTGACCTCAAGTGATCCTCCTTGATTGCTAGGATTACAGGTGTGAGCCACCTCACCCAGCCTGCTGTCTTCTATTTATTAGAAGCAAGCCACAGGGTCCAGCCTACATTCAAGGAAAGGGGTACATGTGGGGGTGAGTACCAGGAGGCAGGATTATGGGGAGCCATTTTAGGAGCTGCCTACCACAAGGAGGAAAAAGCAATAAAAGGATAAAATCTAGGATAGTGGTTACCTCTGAGTAGAAGTGCAGGAGAGGAAGAGATATAAGAGCACATAAGTAGGTGTAAATTATTTGTAATGGTTTAGTTCCTGGGGCAGGTGGTGGGTTTATAGGTGTTCATGAGTGAGTCACAGATAAGTGAGGAGAAACTGTCATGAATCAAGGATTATATTTAGTCCAATTTGATAATATTTAAAATATTCAATAATAAATGATAATAGAAATTGGTGACTACTACTGACCTTGATCTGAGCCCCATCCCTGCACTTAGCCTGGTCTTAGGTTAACACTGGCTTCAGCCTGACCCTCCACCTGCCCCAAACTAACCACTAGCATTTCACAAACACTGACCCTAGCTCTAGCATCATGATCTCTCCATAATCTGCAACAGGTCTCCAGAGTTCTGTTCTCTGAAACTTGCACCCACGTAACCACACCTGTAGGCTCTTGTATGTAAAGCTGGTAGGAAAGACGGAGGGGCCTGGGGGCCAGGAGGTGGGTGCAGGGTATAGTTCTGCCTTCCAGTAGCACAGTGGGGCCGGAATACAGGTTTGGTGGCTGGGGTCACTACCTCACCCGTTGGCCTTCTCCAAGGCAGAGGCTGGGCCACGTCCTAGAGGCTCTTATTCCTTGAGGCCCCTTTCCCTGGTATCCAGCTATGCCTGAGTTTGTCTCGACCCACAATCCTATCCCCAAATCCTACAAATCAAACCCTAAAAGCAAATTGTGAATTTTACTTAATGTTTTTTGAGAATATGAAGTTGGATTATATAACACATTATACTCTATAACTCTTCTTTAAACATCTCTCTCATTCCCCAACCCTGCCCTCTTACGGCCACTGCTATATTCTTCCCTCTCTGCTCCCCACTTCCCTCTCCCCTTTCTGACCCACACTAAATCTGATTTTCTCTAGTTCATTCATTCCTCAAATATTTATTGAGGACCTACTATGTTCTAAATGCCAAGAACACAAAAGTGAGTACAAAACATGATTTGTTCCCCAGTGTTCACAATCCTACAGGAGAGAAAGGCATGTCAAGTGTATTTAACATTTTCTATTTAATTTTTTGAACAGATAAAAAACACACATGATTTTTAAAAAGCATACACATAAAAAGTGAAAAGTCTCCTTGTTCCCTGCATACCTTTAATAGGTAACCTCTATCTTTAGTTTTTGTGTATCCTTCCAGAATGTCTTTCTGTGAATATAAGCAAACATGCACATTTGTTGTTAACTTACACCTCTTTTTTAAAAAACATAAAGGGCAGTATATTACACACTCAGTTCTGCATCTCGATTTTTTACTTAACAAGATCTCTTGTAGATCTCTGGTGATTAATTTTATGTGTCAATTTGACTGGGCCACAGGATGCCCAGATATTTGGTCAAACATTATTCTGAGTATTTCTGTGAAAGTTTTGGGATGAGATCAGCATTTAAATCAGCAGATGTGAGCTTGTTTGGAGGTTCTAGTAGGGGAGCACAGCTACTCTTATAACTGTCCTTTATTGGGGAAAGTTGTCTTCTTCCATGGAGCTCACAGCTTCAGGAGGGACGCACTTGGAGTGGTGAGGGAAGAAGGGCACACCTGCCTAGCCAGCCAGATCAGCAACCCTGGTGATCAATGGGGTGACAGATGTCGCAGCCAGATCATCCTCACATCTGAAATCAGCAGATGAGTAAAGCAGGTTGCCCTCACTGAAATGGTTGGGCCACATCCAATCATTTGAAAGCTTAAATAGAACAAAAAGGCTGACCATTTCCTGATTAAGAGAGAATTCTTATTGCCTTTGAACTGGGATATCAGCTTTTTTTCCTGCCTTTGGACTCAAACTAACACATTGGCTCATTCTCAAACCTGCTGGCCTTTGGACTGGAGCTACACCATTGACTCCCCGGGTTCCCAAGCCTTTAGACTCAGCCTAGAACTAAACCATTGGCCTTCCTGGGTTTTGCCATGTTGCCCTGCAGATCTTGGGACTTGCCAGACTCCACAATCATGTGCCAATTTCTTATAATAAATCAATCTCCCCTTCTCCCCCTTTCACAATTCTGTTTCTCTGAAGAATCTTGATTAATACAAGATTTTTCCATATCAGTATATTAAAAATGTTCTCCGTTTTTTGTTTGTTTTTTAAGACAATGTTTCACTCTGTTGCCCAGGGTGGAGTACAGTGGCATCTTCATAGCTTATTGCAGTCTCCAACTTCTGGGCTCAAGCAATCCTCCTGCCTTAGCCTCCTGAGTAGCTGGGACTACAGGTGCATGCCACCACACCTGGATAATTAAAAAAAAAATTTGTAGAGATGGGGTCTCACTATTACCCAGGCTGGTCTCAAACTTCTGGGCTCAAGTGATCCTCCCACTTCAGCCTCCCAAAGTGCTAGGATTGCAGGAGTAAGCTGTATCAAATTGTACAGTATAATTGTACCAAATTTATTTAATCAGCCCTCTATTAATGAACATTTGAGTTATTTCCAATCTTTTGTTATTGCTAATTCAATAAGTAATCTCATATTCATAATTTAGTATTGTGTACAAGTATATCTGTGTGATAAGTTTCAGAACTGGGGTTGTTAGGTCAAAGAATATATGCATTTGTAATCTTGACCGAGATTGTGAAATTGTCCTATACAAGGGCATAGCTCAGAGCAGAAGCTGAAGACTGGTGGTCCATTGCCCTGCTTTGCTTGGCTTGTACTGTGTAGTATTCTTTATAAAATTAATTGCTAAGTTTTATGTTGATGAGGATGTGAAGCAACTAGGACTCTCATGCTCTGCTAATGGGAGGGTAAATAACTACAACCATTTTGAAAGACAGTTTGGCACTTTTTTTTAAGAGTCAAGGTCTCACTCTTTCACCCAGGCTAGAATGCAGTGGCTGATCATAGCTCATTTCAGCCTTGAACTCATGGGCTCAAGTGATCTTCCTGCTTCAGCCTTCTAAGAAGGTAGGATTACAGGCTTGTGCCACCACTACTGGCTTTGGCAGTTTCTTATCAAATTAAACATATGCCCATGCTGTTGTATCAGTTAGGGTTCAATCAGAGAAACAGAAGGAATTTGTTACAGAGATTTGACTTCAAGTAATTGTGGGAGCTGGTTAAACAGTCTCTGCAAGGTTGTGGCTTTTGCATCTGATGCTGAAGCTTAAAGTCTATAGGTGAGGCAGTTGGGAAGGGTAGATGGAAAAAAAGTGGGGGAGAGAAAGGACAAGATGAAATCCATGAGCCCAAGATGGAACACTCAAGGACAAACTGAGACTCATGTCAGTTTTCACTACCCCCAAACTTGATGACGTGGATAAACTGCAAAAGAAGCTGGCACCATTTGTCATCTAGCCCAGGAGTCATAGAAGTGAAGAAGGATCCAGGGAAATGTGGAGCAGTTGCAGATCTTGCTGTTACCCTATGTCAATGTGAGCCAGCAGGTCAGTGACAATGTGCATGGGATACACAACTCCTGATC